CGATTTTGCTGGCCTGGAATGAATAAAGACGTGAGGGAGTGGGCACGCTTCTGTGTAAGCTGCCAGAAATCCGAGGTTATTAGACACAACAAATGTCCCTTAGGTTCATTTAAAACTCCCGACGTTCGTTTCGACCATGTTTATCTGAATTTGATAGGACCTTTATCAGATTCAAATGGATACTCTTATCTCTTAACCTACGTAGACCGTTTCGCTCGATGGCTAGAAGAAGTACCTATCAAGAACATCACTGCTGAAACAGTGGCCCACGATTTTGTCGAACGATGGGTAGCAAACTTCGGCTGCCCTTCAACCATCACTACAGATCACGGACACCAGTTGGAATCTGGACCTTTCCATTGTCTGACCACACTATTAGGAATCACCCGCTTCCGAACGACCGCCTACCACCCCAAGCAAACGCGTTTCTAGAACGCTTTCACCGACAACTAAAAGCTTCACTATCAGCTGCAAACATTTCTCAGTGGGCGGACATTCTTCCACTCATCTTACTAGGTGTTCGCAATGCAGTGAAAGCTGACACTGGATATACTGTAGCCCAACTCGTTAATGGAGCGACACTTCGACTTCCAGGAGAATTCGTGGATTCTTCATCCTCTTCAATGACCATGGATCTAACATCCTACACGAACAGGCTTACAAACGCAATGCGTTCAGTTAAACCTGTTTCCACTCGACCACAATCAACTGATGTTTTCGTTCAGCCTGACTTACAATATAGTACACACGTCTTCGTTCGTCGAGACTCATATCGACGACCTTTTGAATCAGCATACGAAAAACCCTTCAAAGTACTTCAACTCGAACCTAAGTGTTGTATAATCGATAAGAACGTTACCAACGATAGCATCAGCATCGATCGCCTCAAAAGCAGCGTATTTAGATGGAAATTCTATTCACGTCGATTCTCCCCCGGCACAACCGAACGACACAGCTCCTGAACTTACAATACCTCACTCGACAACCAATGCGCACGAGGATACTTCGGCAGTACCAGAAAATAACTTAAAACAACGCGTTCTAAAAGAAGACTAAGATTTCCAAAATCTTTGAACGATTATTACACGTAAGCTACTAGTTGACATTTTATATCATATCGATTTTCCTTTGTAATATATATAAGTAAAAAAACCAATTTTACTATGCTTATATATTCATAATTTTATTTCGAAAAAACCAAAAAATCATTTTGTAAAAATCCTTTTTTAAGCTATTACGTGAATTTATTCTCCACTTTTTAGCTTGCTTTGTGTTTTATCGCACGTAAGAGTGTATTTCGACATGCTTTTACATATTAGTTTATTTTCTAGGACGGTTGGAAAAGAAGAAAAAGTACGACGAAGTTTACGATGAGTCGAAAATTTATTACTAATTTCTACCATATGTATTACACGGCAGGAAAATGCTAAACCTTGCAAGCTATCAGAAGAGTGTCTGCCAACGACAATCTCGTTGGGTTTAAACTTCTGACTAACCACGTCTTAGGGTCGTCACTACCCTACTAGAGGGGGAGATCTGTGGCGGTAAATAAATCCCCAAAATAAATAGTTCTGCAAGTCTTCGACATTGGATACTGACCACGATAGTTTTGATGGACTCACCTAGCTGAGGGCGCTCCGTCACTTGTCCGCACCAGATCACAAGTGGAAGGCCGTGCTGAACGTCCCCTGCAATCGCTAGCCAGGTCAGATCAGTCGATCCTCGATATATTGATAGCCTATCAAATATATCTTCGCTTCTGTCTTTTGGTTTCACTTGGTGGGTAAGATTCACATAAGAAAGTGTTACTGGTTAAATCATTTTCAAACTCCAAATGTCTGTGGCATCTTTAATGGTTTGTCATCGTATTACGTATGGTAGTTCCAAAAACCGGTAAATTAATATTGTCGTCTACTAACCTCTGTTTGTATATATCGAGGAGTAGATTATTGTGTTGTACCAGGTTTCGGAGCGTCTGAGATCATGATGAGTGTTCAGGAAACGACTGAGAGTACTGTAGAGATCTGCGTTTTCGTTTAGAGTTAGCCGAAGCCTTTCCTTGTTGTGACCGGGGGTTCTAGTTATCCTAAGTGTCCAGCTAACAGATGCGGCCAGTTTGGTTACGGCGTTACATTGAAATGAGACGCTTGTACCTTTTGGGGGAGCCTAGATAATATTTTCTTGAAAAATTTCGTCCACTAGTGGCCTTTCACACAAGCAGCAACATTTCCATTGCCAAGCTATGCTACAACTCGATACTGTGAAGTAGATGACGTTACCTTTGTCAATGGGTTGGATCTCAACGTTTAGGGATGCCCCTTTTCAAAGTTTCGTAAAGTTCGGATGCATCAAAATACAAACATATTCGGTGTAACGTTCTGGTCTAAGTCGCACGGTTATTGCTTCACTGCTGCGACGACGTGGTCTGTCACTCTATGCTCATGGAAGTTATCATTTGCATAGCACAGCCTGGATTCGATATTGTCAGACCAGAATGGCATGAGTCGCAAGGTGGGGGTGTACGTGCCTTAATCCTTGGAAGTTCGAGCGTGTCACGAGGCTTAAAAAGTAAAATGTGCGAAAAACACCCGAATATAGGGAATTAATGTCGACATGCGTAAAAAGTATACAAATAATGTTACAACTCACAGTTTATCGTTTATGAAATCACGTCAAGGTCACCATTGAGGGTTGACGGCAACTTCGTTCGCAAAATCGTTATCGAAGATCCCAAGTCTAGTCAACCCTGACGATGTTCATGAAGGACAACTATATATTGAGACGCTGACGTGTGCCAATTAGCACGAAACCCGGGTCCAGGGTTTCCTGTTGACTACCTCCAACCACCATCTAAATCTCAATATATAGTGCCCGCAGTGTTGAGTCACCTAGACTGGTGGCCACATTGCAACATGATCGATAGCATTCGATCTGCACTAATAAGGACTAGACAAGCATGACATTGATCACCACCCAGTGATCAATCAATTGTAATCACTGAATTGTTTACCCTGGCGATTCTTTACTGTCACATATACAAATGGGATTAACTATACTGGTGAGCAAAACCAAACATTGTATAGGCGTGACAACCTGAAACCGTGTCAGTGTACCAAAATGTCAAGAGAGTACTAGTGTATATGGATGTACGAGGTATTGAAAAACTAATACCAATGTTGTTAATCTCTGTCGAAGCTGAACCACCAAAGTGGTAGTAACAATATATTTAATTTAAGTGGTTCAAATGGTTCAAATGGTTGTGGACGGAATAGAAGAAGCTTTCGCTTAACAGGCTTCCGTGTCTATTAGCAAGGGATCACCAAATCCTCCAGGCAGGAACCTAGGTATGTTAACAATAAAAGAGGAAAAGAAATTGGTAAATCATAGTATGATGCTGTCCTTGGTCCTTAAGAACAGGTCAAGTTGCCTCTTGAAGGACTCCTGAGAAGTCGCTTGGACTAGCTCGGCCGGCAGCGAATTCCAGCTTTTGACAACTCTTAAGGAGTAGAAGTTGTGTCTACATTCCGTCTTGCTATGTTGTGTTTCCAGTTTCTGGGTGTTACCTCTTAGGTTATTATTCGAACTAAGCTTAAGTAGGTGTTTAAGAAGATGTCCAGAAGTGTTAAGAATGCTATAAGCTACTAATAAATCACCTCTAAGACACCTATATTCTAGTGGGTAAAGGTCTAGTGAACGGAGGCGTTCTTCGTAAGGCTTAGATTTGAGTCCTCGAACTGATTTCGTGGCTCGCCGTTGGATACGCTCCAAAGTGACCTTGTCCTTTTGGAGTGAGGGAGGAAATACTATGTTTCCGTACTCTAAATGGGGACGGATGAAACTACTGAAGATTGTGTGGAAAGTTCTTCCGTCAAACTGGCCAAAAATGCGCCTCAACGTTACCAATGCAAGGTTTGCTCGGAAGGCATTTTTGTCGCAGTTAGCGTAAGACTTTAAGTCATGGGGCACCAGGACTCCTAAATCTTTTTCGACTTGGGATACTACTAGAGAGGAGTTTCCTAAGTTGTAACTGTAGTCTGCAACATGTCGCAGATGGACTACTTTACACTTTGAAGTGTTAAAGGTAAGTCCGTTATCGTCTGCCCAACTTTGAAGTCGAGTCAGATCCTCTTGAAGTGCCTGTGTATCGTCTTGGTTGCGTATCTCTCTCCAAAGTTTCACGTCGTCGGCAAAAAGTAATAAGTCTGACGTTACCTGTTGAGGAAGATCATTTATGTAGATGAAGAAGAGAAGAGGCCCTAGTACTGAGCCCTGGGGGACCCCACTAGGACATTCCATAGCCTGAGATAAAGTGAAATTAACCCTAACCTTAAAGTGTCGATTTTTTAGGTATGAACGTAATAAAATGACACGACTTTAACTGAAGTTATTAAAGTTGAAGTCGAACAAAGATTCCGTTGACATGATAGGAAGGCAAATGCCTTCATATTTAGCGACGTCGTTTGGAACATTATACTCATATAAGCTCGAGCTCGACAACAATAGATTACCAACGTAGGTGACCGAAGTCGTTGATTGGGGGCCTACTCGAGTTGGACGGATATGGTGTGACCATCCAGCCTACGTTGAAGTTAGTCTGGCTACTTTGATGACTGTAGAAAGGAAATAACGACTATACAGAGATGTGTTGGTAGGCACTGGTACAAGATACAGAGTGCGACCACTGCCGCATAGGCTAGTACAAGGCATGTAATTAACTAGTGCGTGTTGGTTGTCCTTGACGTTGAAAAGGATTGGTAAACTGTTTGATATTCAGTGACCTGTATCCTGGATGATTTGGCAAGGGCCGTGTTATTTCACTGGCTCTACATAACCAAAGAATGACCCTTTAGAACCGAAAACGAAGCCCATGGAAATAATTTAGTATCATGCAATGAAAGATGCTTGATAAAGTGGTACATATTAGTTTGTAAAATCTATGAGTTACGAATGGGATTTATTTGAACTCATTTCAGTGGTCCCATTTCAATTTGTAGTTGTGCGCGGTAAAGGGGATTTTGCGAGACTTGACCTTGTCTTTACTGTGTTAGTTAGTTTCGAGAACTCAATAAAAGGTTTGTGACCCGGACAAAATATAGTGTTAAATAAAATCTAATCGTATTTTTTTCGTAATTCTACGCACTGTTCACTATAGCGTACATTTTTGGATAGCTGTTCTTCGTGAGACGTTACAACGCTTCAGCGCGTGTACTTCTGAAACTGATTTTGGGGCGTTAAAGAGCACCTCACTTATCTTTATCTCACTGATATCCCTATGGTGCCTACGAAATTGCTATTTTAAGGGCTTAGCGAGTAACTCAGAGAAGTAAAGTGTTTACTTGTCTGTGCATAACCTCTTTCGATTGATTCATTCAATAGAGCCATCACTACACCAAGTGGATCTGAGAGCTACATAGAGGAGTCTATTAATTGCATTATACTTTGTTTGGAGTACTAATAGGATCTTGGCCTTCTTTCAAAATGTCTAAGTGTGTCTGGGCCATGTTTTACGATAAGTAGTCTAAATAATTTAAGATTTTATGATGAAAACAAGCCTTATTACCATATTTGATTTATCTAATGGCCTCTATTTTGGACGGCATAACTAAATCATACGAATCGTTTGGTATACATGATATTGTAGCAAAATCATTCTTTAGCCTACAGTTAAGCGCGGGACCAAGACCATGAATTATGGAAAGTGGTGTTGGAACTGCATGTTCCTGATTACATCTAGGGTACCGGTTGGAAAGTATGACACGTTTTCACCTGTTATTTGGAAGGCTTTACAAAAGTGATTACGGTATCCGGTAGACATTAGTCTCTGTCTTCATGCATTCTGCACTGAATTCCCCCTTTTACAGCTATTTTCAGGCTTAAACTGGACAGTACTTCATTAATTACAAACTAGTGAGTATTGTCGTTATCCGTTTGTTTCATGACATCTGCTGATATTCGTTTCCAGTGGTTACTTGTTCAATCATCCATTCGTTGTTTTCGGACCAACTTGTTTGGTCAGGATACAAAACTATCTTTTGCCGCTAGTAGTAGGGTTGGTATCGACTGACGATGTCATGCACCTATTGGCCATTATTTATACCGTCCATACTTTTGGTGGAGTTTTGTTCTCTGAGCTGGATGGTTTGGTCGTGGAGCTTTCATCGTTCTTCTGAACGATATCATCAGTACAAACTTCAGATAGAAGTGAAGTGTTCGAATTTCTCCATATGTGTTTCACAGCTTGTTCTGTGCACCTCGATGTTGATTGGTCCTTATTGACCTTAAATTTGTCATTGTTTACTTCTTTGTTTTGGTTGTGTCTCCCATTAGTTTGATTTTTGTTCAGAAGAACGATGAAAGCTCCACGACCAAACCATCCAGCTCAGAGAACAAAACTCCACCAAAATCATCCACCTGAGCTACAAATCTTCTCCACCATGCCGTCCATACATTCAAATAAGGTTGTTTGGATAGATCGATCCAACATATTTAAACTACAGAAGCTGTTAGGCAGTTATTTCATGAGTAGAGTGTGAATATTATGACTAAACATCATTGTTCTCATCCGCGAGTAACCACTTTAGTATCAAAGACCCTATCATTCTTCATTCAAGTTGGGTAACCTGTAAAATTTTTCGACGAATGCTTTTGAAATAATTTTCATCTTGTTTACCTATAATGCATTATATTTCGCTTCAATTTTTTCTAGCATTAAACCTTCGGTCGACCGAATTGGGTGGAATAGCTAACACTGATTGCAAGTATATACCCGTGTAAACGACTTTATAACCTGGGATCCTGAAGGTCTGTCTTCGTAAAATACACAGTATATTTACAGATAGTCCTACCCCCATATTTCCGGTAACGAAGTAACCATATTCGGCAGCGAAACATGGCCATTAAAAGTAGAAGACAGTCAGTCAGTCAGTAACAACGTAGAACTTCGTACGTACGTAAATCAGTTCGAGTTGCCACACCACATTAGCACAGAGATTCAATGATCGACTCAAATTCCATAGTGATAGAGGTAATAAGAGTATAAGCGGTAATCGGGAAAATTAGTGTTTGGAGATGTTATTTAAAGAGTATAATACAGTGAAATAAATTTGGGAAGGGAAAAAAAAGAGACAAGGAGGGATAAGATCAAAATTTGGGAGAACACAAAGGGTGTATGCACCTGCACCATTGCAAACGATTTTGAGCCATGTCATTCAGGGTCTCTAAACATCGGTTGCTATCATCTCGCGGTCCCCAACCAGGTAGTCTACACCTACCAACATGACTCAGTCCACTTGTCAGTGACTTCATGAACTTGTGCCATGTTTTGGTCTGGCCGCCCCTAGCTTTCTTCCAACCTACTCCTATACCACTGAACATCGCACGCCGAGGCAGTCGGTCGTTGGGCATACGTAACACGTGTCCCAGCCATCCCAACTAATGAAGTTTCACTACTTCATCAATTGATTTGCCATCCTTACCTAGTACCCGTTTCCTAACAACTGCATTACTTACTCGATAGTCCCAGGATATACGAGCAATATTTCGAAGACACCTATGATCAAATACTAGTAACCTACGAATATCCTCTACTCTTGCCGGCCATGTTTCACTGCCATAAAGTAGGACGGAACGAACTGCTGTGCAGTAAACCCGTCCTTTCACAATTGATTGATCACTGGGTGGTGATCAATGTCATGCTTGTCTAGTCCTTATTAGTGCAGATCGAATGCTATCGATCATGTTGCAATGTGGCCACCAGTCTAGGTGACTCAACACTGCGGGCACTATATATTGAGATTTAGATGGTGGTTGGAGGTAGTCAACAGGAAACCCGTCCTTTGGTTGATAGACGGATATCTCGCCTACGCCATAAATGACGCAAGTTGGTAAAAGCTAGTCGAGCCTTCTGTATCCGTGCTGAGATTTCGTCACACACCAGACCACAAGGGCTGATGAGACTTCCAAGATAAGTGAAGCGATCGACAAGCTCAATTACTTCACTCCCTATCATTAGTTCGGGTGTCAATGCAACACAATCCTGAAGCAACATTTTGCATTTCGAGGGGGAGAATCGCATCCCGAACATGCTTGCATTGTTGCTTAGAGTGGTCATAAGACTGCATTTTGTCAGCGTCTTCACCAAATAGAAATATGTCATCAGCATATTCTAAGTCAACAAGTGAACCTCCCGGTAGAAGTTCAACCCCTGGAAATTTAGACGAGGAAAGTGTTATCTCTAAAAGTACGTCGACGACAAAGTTGAACAAAAATGGAGAGAGTGGACAGCCCTGACGAACACCACTTGAGGTAATCAATTCTGATGACAGTTCGCCATAAGCTCTCACTCGACCAGTTGTGTTCGAGTAGAGAGCCTTTACAAGGTTAATGTACTTCTTTGGTACTCCTTTCAGTGACAAACACTGCCATAGAACCTTACGATCGACAGAGTCGAATGCTGCTTTAAGGTCGAGAAATACTACGATTCGCGGGCGTCTGAACGTGTGTGTGTGTTCTAGAACCTGACGTAGTGTGAATATGTGGTCTATACAACCACGTCCAGGTCGAAAACCAGCCTGATTTTCTCTAGTCTGCTCTTCACGAGCTTTAGTTGGGCGTCGAAGTATTATTGAAGCTAATATTTTAGACACTATATTAGTCAAACTGATTCCTCTGTGATTGTCACAAGAGGACTTTTGTCCTTTTTTATAGACTGGCACAATCAGTGATTGAGACCAGTCAGATAGGATTACGTCCAGTTCCCAAATTCTACCTAAGACCTCAGTCAATCTCACTGCTAATACTGGGCCGCCATCCTTAAAAATCTCACTGGTAAACCTATCAGGGCCTACTGCTTTCCCACGCTTCAAATTTCCGATAGCTTTTTCAACTTCGTAAAGAGTCGGAGGACCTACATTAACTTGCCATTCAGGTTGACTGGAGATCGTGGGAAACCGAAGTGTGGCTGAAGGCCAGTTGAACTGATCCCTAAAGTGTTCTGTCCATCGATCCATTCTCCTGGATTGGCAATGTATAATATGTCCATCTTTTTCTGAGTCATGTCAGAATAAGTAAACGATTACACGAGTTTGTGTAATTAAGTGACAGGATGGTAGATCCATGTTTGTTAAGCCAATCAGATCGTGTTCTGCTAATGAGTGAATATTTATTCCTATTTAACTAAATGTACAAATAAAAATAAACTGTCTCTAGATAAAATCTGCCTCATTGTTTGTCTTCAATTAGTGAATATTAACATTGATTTGTCAGTGGACACGGGCAAATCTTATCAAAACTACCCACTATTCAAAAAGATCAGTACAAAGTTATTGTTTCGCAACATAATCTTTGCTCATGTCCTGATTTAGATCAACGTATGAGTTAGTTTAAGTAAATACAAGAGATCTACACAATTAAAAGATTTTATTCCTTTTACCAGTAGTCCGATTGATACGAGTTGTTAACATAAGTAGCATTTATGTGAACAAAATCAGTCAGTAGACTACAAAGAAAATTCGAACAATCAATTAGATTGAATATAGTAACCAATTAGGAAATGATGGTAAATCAGTTGATGAGGTTGTGTTATGTATGCGTGAACACTGATTACCACGACGTGCAATGCTAACCGGTGTTCGGGATGGTTGGAAGAAAGTTAGTGGCGGCCTAACCAAAACGTGGCATCAGTGCTTGAAGTCACTAACTTGTAGTCTGAGCCATGTTGGTAGATGCAGACTACTTGGTTGGGTTCGCGTGACTATCGTAACCAATTGTTGGAGACTCTGGGTGACATGGCTCAGAATCGATCACAATGGCGTCGGTGTATACACTCCCTGTCTTCCCTTAAACTAAGAGATTAAAATCGCTTCATATCTTTCTATCTACGTACTAAATCATTCTTCCTGTACTATATCTTTATATGCAATCTTTCTTTTATGTATTACCACCATTGAATTACCTACATCTATGAATTTGTTGTTCGTCTTGCTGTGCTAATGAAGTGTGGCAACTTGGACCGATGCATATGTGCCTGGTCCTACGTTGTAGCTGACTGACTGACTGACTACCCGCATATTACGAATAAAGTAACTCAGTGACACATACTTCTTTCTCCAAGACTTCTTGGTTACTGGAATTTCTTCTAAGACTGCAAGCACTCACGTATAAAACTCGCTTAAGTTGTCACAATTGATGAGCCTGTCCAGCATACCGAAATAACACGCGGTTGATAGAGACTAGTTGATGTGAACGATAAGGAAGATCATGACTAGTATGGGACTTGATTATTTATCTCTGATATTTTATAATAGAAAACATTGTGTCGTCTGATTTCTTGAGAATATTCAATGACTTATTTTATGTGCGAGTTCTTTTCCCTTCTATCACAAATTTGTCGCTACTTTTGTTAATATGCCATTTGTCTTTCTCTTTTGTTATAACCTCTCTTTCTTCATACGGTTAATGACCCAGCTATTCCTATTGCTTAGTATTCTCGGACACCGATTCACTCGACAAGTCCCCAAATCAGAACACGGTTGAACAGGAAAGCATGCTCAATGCATGATTGCTTTGGTGCACGCTGATTGGCTAATTCTTATCCAATCAGCGCTAGTCGATAGTCGGAGAATATTCTGGATTCTTCTTATGTAAAAACTATAAATATACCGACGTTTTCCCCTATTGTGCTTCCTACTGGCTTCTGACTTGCTATTTGGAATATAATCTTTTTCCTGTTCAACCGTGTTCTGATTTGGGGACTTGTCGAGTGATTCGGTGTCCGAGAATACTAAGCAATAGGAATAGCTGGGTCATTAACCGTATGAAGAAAGAGAGATTATAACAGTGGCGACGGGGAAAAACTAAAGAAAAATGGCGATTTCTTTAGAACAGTTGCGGTTAATATTACAGCACCAGCAGAAGTTGTTAGCCTTGCAACAACAACTATTGAACACACTTTTCACTCGATCAGAAAATAAGAAATCTGTTTATGATGCAGTAACAGACATTTCAGAAGCATATCTAGTGGAGGGTTCAAATCCCTTTATACCTGAATCAGAACGTAATATTTGTAAGGTTTCCGGCTCACAGCAAGAAAATACTGTGCTGAATGCACATGAAGTTGTGACAATACCAGATGATCAGGAGCCAGATCCTGTAGATGAAGCCCGGAGTCCAGAATCAAATGAAACACTACTGGTACTGTCTAGCTGCGAAAATAAACGTCAGCTCGAACAAAATTGTGGTCCACGTGCTATTAGTCGAGAAAGCTATGGTGACTCGTATTCAGAAAATAACTGGAGCAACACGATGAACCAAATTGTACCAGATGTTACTCAAAATCACCGGAAGACAGAATTTTATATTGAGTCAACTTATCCCATTTCTAATGACAGTGTACCAGATATTGATTCTCAGAATAATGCATATGATTTTGATGAACCTTCTTATAACAATGAGGGAAATATGTCAGCTGAGTCGAATGATGGCCAAAAATCTAATCTAATTCTGTTAGACGTTGACTTTCTTAATGACTCGTTATCTGCTAACGAGATTCATAATAAATTTGAAAATAATGAACTCAGATCAAAGGTTGTTCATCATCATCTAGTCATTTTTAGTGGATTCTCCAGTCAATACGAGAAACATGGTTTAAATAAAGTCCTACTAGTTGTAATTTGGAGCCATAAGGACCCAACATTATTTCGAGGAGGAGGAGAATGTTGGAAAATTAAAAGTTATGCATACTTTTTCTGAATGTCATAGTTTGTTTGAAAGGCAGCTACCAAAGAAAGAGATTTGGACTCGGCTGATTTCACATGTCGAGGACGTTTATGCTTCTTCTTAGGCTGAGACGTACGCTTCGGTGGACAATGACCTTCTTTATGTCCACGTTTGTTGCACTCCTGACATTTATGCTTCTTGAACGGACAGAATCGTGCATAATGCCAATCACCGCATAACCAGCATGCAGTCCTTGGTTTGTTACGAGTTGTTACCGGCTTCTGAACTTTTAACCTAGTAATAGTATTTACACTACCGCAGGTTAAATTAGGATTTACCTGTTCAATCAACTCGTTGTCGTGTCTGATGCTTTGTAGACGCTTACACTCATCTGTCAATGTTCTGAGTGTGACGTTTGGATCTTGGTCCAGTCGAGCCAAAAGTCTAGTCCTGATCTCAGCGTCTTGTGGTGACTGAAGAGCTTTGATGAATATTAAGCATTTAAATTGGTCATCAGTCAACGAGCGCAACTTGAAACGTTCACATTCTCTGTTGACAATGTCTGCTAGAACACCATATTCATCAGCTTCGCGTTTCACCAAATTTAGACACCGATATCGAATACTAAACAACGAGGATGACTCGCCGAATATCTCTGACAGCTGAAATACCGTCTCCTCGAAACTGAGCTCTCGAGGTAACTTTGGCAAAATATGGTCAGCAAAACGTGCATGTTCGTTGCTTCCCAACTTACGTACCAACAATCGGGTCTTCCACGCATCGTCTTGATTACAGAATTCTGTTCTAAATGTATCTTCCCAACGTCTGAACCACGTGAGAAAAGTATTTCCATTTTCGGGATCATAGACGAATTCTGGGATGCTGCTAGCAACTGCATCACAAGACGAACTTGAAATAGCGTGTGAATTCGAACTGTGGATGTTGAACTGTCGAGTCAGAGTCTCCAACAACCGCATTTGTGCATCAAGTTGTGCTTGCTGTTGTTGTAGTATTCGGTTAAGCTGGTCATCTGATATAGGCATCTTGAATTTGTTTTCCTTACGGTTAATGACCCAGCTATTCCTATTGCTTAGTATTCTCGGACACCGATTCACTCGACAAGTCCCCAAATCAGAACACGGTTGAACAGGAAAATGATTATATTCCAAATAGCAAGTCAGAAGCCAGTAGGAAGCACAATAGGGGAAAACGTCGGTATATTTATAGTTTTTACATAAGAAGAATCCAGAATATTCTCCAACTACCGACTAGCGCTGATTGGATAAGAATTAGCCAATCAGCGTGCACCAAAGCAATCATGCATTGAGCATGCTTTAGTCTAGTTTATGTCCCGCTAACATCTTTGCTTTCAACTTTTTATAAAGTCATCTGTCTTTATTTTGCTGCATACAGTAATTGCTCCGATAATCTTCCCAGTGAAAACACAAACACAAATGTATTTTTGAAAATATGAATAAGTTGGTTCTGTTTCAAATTTTGTCATCTGAAGGAGGATCCCAGCAAATTCTACTTGTGATACATATGATCAAAAAACAGATTTCAAAATCTACAGAATAATTAGGGCAGTACATCATGAAGTTCTCTGAAGGTACGTAGCATAATTATCTTCTGTGTTTTTTTCTAGCTTATTTACACAAACGATACGGGGTCCCGGATTCATGAATATCTTGCTGAATCCCTTTACTTTTGGCCTATTTTAGTGAGGATTCAAAGCAATTTATGATAAGCTTATATTTATAATCCTAATACCTGGTTTTGTGAATTAGTTTTAACATTTATCACGACTAATTTCTTAAGAATATGACTTACTTGTATGTTGTTGAATTTATTTAGTAGTGTTAGTGGTGATTACACAGTAACAGTTTCTTTACATCGTAACTGAAATTTCGGCTTGGAGTTCTCATTTTTGAGAGCAGTTTTGTTTATTCAGCTTTAGGCAGTACTCCATGATGTTGTTACTTTCCGACTGCCCAAACTACTATAATTGAATTAGGGTTTGAACCGGCATCCTGTTATTTAGAAACAGTGCTCAAAATTACTGTTGAGTTCTAATCATTTTGTAACCCCCGAACCATTAGTTTTCACCCGATTTCCGCTTGAACCACAAGCTAGTATTGTCTGTCTACAAAAATAATTATGGTTTCGTCATGTAAAAGTTATATCTGATTACCAGGTTAACTAAATTACATTAAACGCTTTTTTCGGTAATTGACAACCTATTCCATATCCAATAGATAAAGTTTGCTCTCCTGTCTACGAATGTTAACCAGATATTTAAAAAGGTCACTTGTTATGTTTCAGATTCAAGTGGAGTGCTTCATTTAAATTCAACTTCGAATAAAACAGTCAAGGAATATGATTGCCAAAAGGTTGGCATAAAGCATTCATCCATTGGAGATGTATGTGACGTTGTTGTAAGTCAGAAAAATATTAATGAATCCAAAGAAAGCTCAAGTGATAGACAGATGACGTTTACTTCAGCTGGTTCACATTCAAACCACTCAAATTTACACAGTTCAAGTGAATATCCACAGAAAGCAAGACGGTCGCTTTTAGACTGGGACAGTTTTATAAATCTACCTAAAAAGCCTCGAAATCTGTCGTTAAAAACTGATGATTTATCTCGAACGTTAGTTACAAAAACGACAGATTCAAGATCTCCAATTAAATCAAAACAAGAAGGTGATAGTCGTGCATCCCCTTGCTTATCTCCTATAAAAGCAAACGAATTTGTTGGAAATGTAAAGTTAGCACCTCTTCGGTGTAGTACAGAACATGACAAGTTATTAACTAATGGTGGCTATTCGTCTTCCGAAGAACACAGTAAAAGTGTCCCTGCAAGGGGAGGCGAATCATCTGATTTCAGCAGTCCTGATTTTACTTTATCAAGTATCCCAGTTAAAAACCGTGCTGAAACGAGAAAACGAAGATCGTCCCATTTTGCCACTGCCTCCAATGACTCCGAAGTATCTTCAGACCAGCTAGACATGCACTCTCAAAGGCAAAACCAAAAAAAAATTCTGATTGGCAATCATAACAGTAAAAAAAGAAAGTTGTCACCTTCTGTTCGAATTCGCAGAACAAAAGACACTTTTACATGCATAGCAAAGGAAAATTTGCACAACGGTGTGCAATCGCCTGATTTTGATTTTGATACCGGTGTAAGTTTTTAAAAAATTAAAACCTAGTAAGGGGCTTTTAAATTTCACTACGATGGAGTTTCTGGATGGGCATTTCTAGTAGCTGGCAGGGATAGAAAATTTAATTTTAGCTGGGCAAATTACCTCACCTGGGTTATTTTGTTCTCCAGGGAACGTAAAAATCCTAATTGGAAATCTGTCAAGTTACATGCTACCTCTTCACAATAATTTTTGTCCTGTATCTTATTAATTTGATGACTTACCAACTGAATACTACACAAATAAGTGAATATTTTGAAAAGGTTGCTTAAATAATCTATGTTTTATATCACAATTTGTTTTATACCTAACTGTCGTAATCTCTATACACTATACAAATGTCTGGTCGTGCTTCACTCAAAAATACAGAGAACACTTTTCAGTAAATGACGAGAAAGCACTAAGCACTTTACCCGCGAAACAATTATCATGTTAATATATTTTTAAGAGTATGTATTGTTTCACGTCTCAGTTATTGGCTGTTTTTAGCTAACATGTGATATTTGCCTCATTTTCTTAACGTAAAACTAACAATTTAGCTCCTTTGGTGAACAAAACAACGATTTTGACTGTACTAAACCCCGTCTTATTATAAAATAATATTTATCTTTCTTCGCTACGAAACTTTGTTCGTGGTACATTATCTAATCTTAACCGACAATACTCCTGCCAGAAAACGATAATTCACTTTGAGAAAAGCACAGAATTATCTCTGTATGCGTTTTTAATAATTAGGGGCCGAAGTATGTTATATTTTAGTAAAAGTAGCGAACGATCTCACGTAATTAAACGGGATAGTTAGTCGTACTATAAATTCCTTGTATTATGGGGATTTTTCATGTTATGTATTTGGTGTATATTTCAAAAATTTGTTACCGACCTTTATAATTGTAGAATTCAATACATTGTCAAAAGGTGTCATGTCGCTCTCTATGTGGTGCCTGTGATCATGATAATCATATATCTAATGAATTAAACTTAAGAGAACTCAGCGGAAGTATTGCATCTCAGCAAAATCATTCATTGGCCAACAATTCACTCACGATTACTCATGTGGCAACACAACGGCCATCTTTAAGATTGAAAAAGTCATCCAAACTTCCAAAGGTATTTACAATGTTTCAAAAACATTAAATTATATATTTATGTATTTTGGACCATTATGAAGAAAATTTCGTTAGTGAAGACCTATCGTTTTTAAGATTTTTGAAGCGTTTTGTTCATGTGCTTGATAAATGAATACAACTGTTCACCTGCAGTTGTGGATTCCAATTAGATTAGTAGTTAAAGCACAAATTTCGTTTGAGTAAAATAAATTAAACTCGGAAGCTAAATAGAATTCCTTTCTAGATAATGTCACATGTATTTTAGTATTTATTGATTATTGATCCCAGCGGGTTATATGGCTACTACGTACCAGGTTCGAACCCCGCTCCACCTAATCCGATTTGCGCAACCGGATATTATCATTAGAGTTTGCATTTAGAGTGCAGCTCACATCCAAGAACCTGATGGACGGGGTTGTGTTCTTCTTCTTCTTTTATTATTATTATTATTATTATTATTATTATTATTATTATCATTATCATTATTATTATTATTATTATTGTTATTATTATTGTACGTTTTCACCTCTCACCACATACAGTATCTTGAACCTCCAAGCCATTTTATTGACGTTCATAGCATAAATTGGTCTAATAACCAAGTAAACAAACCCATTTATCTCCTATAATTTACGTAAAGCGGACAAAAACTTTTTAATCAGCCGGAACTATTATTTGGGGTGATTTATGTTTTTTTAAACTTTTTAGTGGCCACTTATCTGCACCTTTGGCGCACTACTCCATTTCACAATAAATTTGAAACATGTGTTATAGGTTGTTATAGTAACCGTAGTATTCCTCGTATTATTTTATGGGAAGCTGTGTATTTATATACAGAAACATACGTGAAAATAATCCACGTATTGATTTTGAGCCAGTCATTAACGTAGAAACGGGCGCAAATATGGGTCTCCTCAAGTCACCGCACCAGATCAGCACAAGATGAAATCAAAATAAATGCCAGACTAATAGAATTAGTAACGGTACCAATGGTTATGGAGAAGATTTAAGCATGAGCAGCAACATTCGAGAACAATGGATAAATTCGTGGAATAGAAATGTATGAGATAATTTTTAAAAAACTTTGTCTAAGTGGAAACGAAGTGATCATAGATGTACCATTATGACCAGTTCTGCACTGTGTTACCCAATGTCTACGACCAGTCGTTATGGAAATCTCCCTGACCCTAACCAAGTTGTCTGCACCTACCAACACAGCTCATGCACGTTCTCGTTTACCTACCCCTAGTTTCAATCCTATTCCTACACTGTCAAACATCGCTCCTTTAGGTAGGCGATAATAAGCCATAGCGGCTTATACCAATCTGGGCCACCTTTGGCGCCTTCGTGATGTTAGTCTGGCTGTAAAAGGTCGGATCTACAACGCGTCGGTGAGAGCAGTTCTCCTCTATGCCTGTGAAACCTGGTCTCCGAGTTGAGGACGTTAGACGACTCTGTGTTCGATCATCGCTGTCTCCGAAGGATTGCTGACATCCAGTGGCAACACCATGTTAGGAATGCAGAGGTTCGGCATCGTGTGTTCGGTCACAGAGACGATAATGCAATTGGTGTCACCATCTTGAAACACCGACTTCGGTGGCTTGGACATGCTCTCCGAATGTCGTCCCAGAGAATTCCACGTCGTGCACTATTTGCCGATTCTGAGACTGGTTGGAAAAAGCGGAGAGGTGGTCAGTGTATGACATGGTGTCAGGGTATGAAAGAAAGCTGCAAAGGGCTGGCTTGTGTTAGTCCTTCACGGCTCCCTGGTTGGGTTCCGAGAGATGGTGCAACATAGTGGCTAGAGACGTTATCAGATATGGTTCAGAATAGAAGCCAGTGGCGATCCTGCTGTAACCTTCTTTTACTTTCTTCATAAAAAATGGTTGTTTCTTCCTTAACTGAAAGATTTCTTCTGATTGTACCATACCGTTTCCCCCGGTATTACTATTGCACTACCTTACACCAATCTCTTCGTTATTGTTCTCTCTTTTTTCTTGCGCTCCTTACCTTTTTTTCCTTTCGATTTCTCATTGTTTTGTGTGGCGCATATATATTGGCGCTCTCTTTTTCCAATATCCATGTGTTCAAATAAATAAATAAATAAATAAAACATTTCTCAACCACCCCAGTTGATAAAGATTCATTACCTTATCAATTGCTTTGCCATCCTTAGCTAGTACTGTGCGTCTAACATCAGCTTATCTCGCTCAGTTAACTTAAGTGTTAAAACTCAATCACCATCATTAAACATCTCTGCAATTGGTTACTGAACAACTGTATTGTTTTAACAATTACCTTTTATCTTTTCCATGTCTTTCGCTTTCGTTGCCCACCACTGCTCACTATCATTACATAAACTCTCCATCAATCTACATTTAAGTTGTCTTTACTCCCGATCCTGTTCGGAGCTTATTAAGATGAGTTTCTCATCGTGTGCCTACGCAGTAGACACCATCGAAATTGATTTACTTTTCGAACCTTTTAGTTTAGTTCACTGATGTACAACTGTTTAGCTTTCATGTCATATCCCATCGGGGCAAACATCACTTTTAAAAGTGATAAATGCTTCTCTGGTTCCTCATACATAAACCCAACTTTTGCATTGTTGAGCCGAACTATTATTGTTGTAGCTTTTCTCCACCTAGAAGAAGTCATTCGAATGTGTGCTCACAATAACTCACGATGAAAGTTTGTACATGTGATCGAAAGGAAGAGGTAATCTTCTCTCAGGCTTCTCCAACAGTGGCTGGTGGTAATAGTCTGTTTGAGTCCATCGTTGAATCAAATTTTGGGATCACCATGTTAGGTATTGTCTCTCCGTATATGTTAAGTTGGTGCTTACTAGAAGTAAATGATTGTCTGAACATAGTTACAACAGGCAGCTACGTCAGTCAATCAGCTACAACGTAGGACCAGGCACATATGCATCGGTCCAAGTTGCCACACTTCATTAGCACAGCAAGACGAACAACAAATTCATAGATGTAGGTAATTCAATGGTGGTAATACATAAAAGAAAGATTGCATATAAAGATATAGTACAGGAAGAATGATTTAGTACGTAGATAGAAAGATATGAAGCGATTTTAATCTCTTAGTTTAAGGGAAGACAGGGAGTGTATACACCGACGCCATTGTGATCGATTCTGAGCCATGTCACCCAGAGTCTCCAACAATTGGTTACGATAGTCACGCGAACCCAACCAAGTAGTCTGCATCTACCAACATGGCTCAGACTACAAGTTAGTGACTTCAAGCACTGATGCCACGTTTTGGTTAGGCCGCCACTAACTTTCTTCCAACCATCCCGAACACCGGTTAGCATTGCACGTCGTGGTAATCAGTGTTCACGCATACGTAACACGCGGCCCAACTTTCTCAGTTGATGAAGATTCACAACCGCATCAACTGATTTACCATCATTCCCTAATACCCTGTGTTTAACCTCACTATTACTTACCCGGTGATCCCAGCAGACGCCAGCAATATTTCTAAGGCATCTGTGGTCAGATACTTGTAGCTTACGAGTGCCTTCTACTCTTAATGGCCATGTTTTGCAGCCGTGAAGTAGAACGGAACGAACTGCCGTGCAGTATACTCGTCCTTTTATTGATAGACGGATATCTCGCCTTCTCCGTAGGTGACGTAAGTTGGCAAAAGCCAAACGAGCTTTTTGAATCCGTGCTGAGATTTGGTCAGACACCAAACCATTAGGGCTGATCAGACTTCCAACATAAGTGAATTTGTCAACATGTTCGAATACTTCACCCCCTATCCTTAGTTCAGGTGTTGACGCAGACCAGTCCTGAAGCAACAACTTGCATTTAGAGGGAGAGAAGCGCATTCTAAACATTCTGGCATTTTCTGCTTAGTGCTACCAGAAGACTGCATTATATCAGCGTCTTCACCAAACAGGACTATGTCATCTGCGTATTCTAAGTCGATAAGTGGACCTCCTGGAAGGAGATCAATATCCGAGAATTCAGTCAACGAGAATGTTATTTCTATCAATAGGTCTATGAGGAAGTTAAACAAAGATGGATAAAGTGGACAGCCTAGACGGACACCACTTGAGGTTGCGTCCGACAATTATCGAGGCTAGTATTTTAGACACTATATTAGTTAAACTAATCCCTCTATGGTTGTCTCATGAGGATTTCGACCCTCTGTGATATATTGGGACGATCAGTGATTGTGACCAGTCAGATGGAAATACTTCCAACTCCCAGATTTTGGCTAAAATATTATTCAACCTAATCGCCAAAATTGGACCACCATCCTTAAAGACCTCTGGCGCCAATCCATCTGGACCAGCCACCCTTCCTCTTTTCAGACTAACTATAGCCTTTTGAACTTTAGCTAGAGTTGGGGGACCTACTTCAATGTTTCATTCACGGTGTCTGGGAATTGTGGGTAGTTGCAGAGTAGCTGAAGGCCAGCTGAACTGTTCTCTGAAATGTTCCGCCCATCGTTCTAAACGTCTAGACTGGGAGTAGATAAGAGTGTCGCCTTTTGCCGAAATAGTCTGACTTACACTTGACTTATTAATTCCGGTTTCCTTTATTAGTCTGTTGGGTTGTCTTGTGTTCCCTGTAGTCGCTGTTTTTTCCATCTCTTTTACTTTCGTTGCCCACAACTGCTCACGGCCGTTCGTTAGATTTTTGCTTAACCTAGATTTCATTCGTTTTCGCTCTTCATCGTGTTCAGAGCCTGATGGGATGAATTTACGAGAATCCGTCAGTGCAATAGACTTAGAAGAAATCCATTGGTTCTTTGTAACCTCTTGGTTTAAATCACTAATAGATGTCACTGCTGTTTGTATATCTTTCCAAAAAAACATCTGGGTCAGCCTCGTTTTCAGAACTACCTCATTGTGACCTCAGTTGTTCCTGGAACCTACTTTTGGTTTTCTCGCTACTCAATTCAGTTCTAATGGGTCTTTTTACTGTGGCTTTTTTGCGTGCCTGTATTAGGGCTTGGTCGGAGTCCAAGCAGGTACTCCAGAATGAGCGGCAATCTTCTACCGACCCTCTTTAACGATGACTGATGGAAATATGGTCTATTCGAGTCTATCATTAGTTTGATGCAGGGGTCGCCATGTTAGACGATGTTTCTCTTTATGCTTAAAATTAGTGTTTGCTAAAAATAAACGATTGTCTGAGCACAGTTGCAGCAGACGATCACCATCATCTGTTCGCTGTGTCGGAATACTAAAATACCCACCTAAATGTCTTTCTGTTTGGTTTCAGCTACCTACTTGAACACTAAAGTCACCTGCTACGAGTACTATGTCTGAGCGTTTAGCTTTCTGAAGAAGTTCAGATAGCTTCCTGCAAAATTCATCTTTCACTTCATCTGAGCTGCAGTCGGTGGGAGCGTAGGCTGAAACGACGAAAGGCAACGACGTGTTCGCCTATCCTTTCGAAATTTTACGGAGCCGTCTAGCCAAACAGCACATATGCGACTGTTAACGGGTATCCATTCTTATAGTGCCTGTCCTGCCCTCGTACTTAGTGCTATGTCTACATCGCCAGTTCACTAGAACTAGCAATCGAATCATATGGTACGATTACTTCACTTCAGCTTCCAGCATTTTTAAGACCAAGGGGTTTCATCTAAGATTAATCTGCTGCTTCGTTTGAACCGCAATCAACAGAAGCGTTTCCGGAGACACAGAAGGGTCGATAGCTGGAACGGGATTTGATCGCTAACAATGTAATATCAGGTTCTGTTAGAGATACGTAGGTGGTCATCACTTTTCAGTTACCTATACCGTGGAAGAATACGTCTTCAGGGACTGAATTAGTAGCGAACTTGACCATCTGGTAACCCAGAGGACATCGTTCTATATGTTGACTGAAGAAAATGCCTTACCGCCCTCATTCCTCAATACACTCAACAGTGCTGTTCCACCCTAGTAGTTTAAATTGCTGCCTTTTATCTTACTGCTTCTCAACAAACCTACATGGCTCGGTAGGACCTAAAACAAACGAGTGTTTCAACAAATATAGGTCGACTGGTTCGTCACAATAGACAAACCCTAATGGTGAATACGGTCGGTTATGTTTTTGAATAAGTGCACTTTTTGTTTTAAACTTAGTTATATTAATATTATTTATCACTTTCATCTTATCTACCCACAAAGGAGGAGCTTATCTCAACTCAAAATCAAAGTAATTTGGCTAACAAGTCCGTTTTTCAATGTTTGTACTGCACGCGCCCATTCTCAGAAAAACGATATCGACTAAAGCACATGATTGCTTGTCGGTTGGCTCCAAAAAACGTAAGTATCACCAGAAGTAAGTCACTGATTTTTATTATTGCTTACAATGCTTTATTTTTGTTAAAGAATAAGGTTCGTAAGCTTTGCTTTTCTAGTCATGGGTAGTATATGAGACAAAGTAGTATGAACTGTTCAACCTGTTGACTTATTATTATCATTTCTTTATTTGAACATATAAAGATTGGTACAAGGCGGCACCAAATATATATTCGCCACACAAAACAGTGAGTATTCGAAGAGAAAAAAAGGTAAGGAGCGCAAGAAAAAAGAGAGAACAATAACGAAGAGATTGGTGTAAGGTAGTGCAATAGTAATACCGGGGGAAACGGTATGGTACAATCAGAAGAAATCTTTCAGTTAAGGAAGAAACAACCATTTTTTATGAAGAAAGTAAAAGAAGGTTACAGCAGGATCGCCACTGGCTTCTATTCTGAACCATATCTGATAACGTCTCTAGCCACTATGTTGCACCATCTCTCGGAACCCAACCAGGGAGCCGTGAAGGACTAACACAAGCCAGCCCTTTGCAGCTTTCTTTCATACCCTGACACCATGTCATACACTGACCACCTCTCCGCTTTTTCCAACCAGTCTCAGAATCGGCAAATAGTGCACGACGTGGAATTCTCTGGGACGACATTCGGAGAGCATGTCCAAGCCACCGAAGTCGGTGTTTCAAGATGGTGACACCAATTGCATTATCGTCTCTGTGACCGAACACACGATGCCGAACCTCTGCATTCCTAACATGGTGTTGCCACTGGATGTCAGCAATCCTTCGGAGACAGCGATGATCGAACACAGAGTCGTCTAACGTCCTCAACTCGGAGACCAGGTTTCACAGGCATAGAGGAGAACTGCTCTCACCGACGCGTTGTAGATCCGACCTTTTACAGCCAGACTAACATCACGAAGGCGCCAAAGGTGGCCCAGATTAGTATAAGCCGCTCTGGCTTTCACTGTACGTGCATTGATCTCATCACTCACACCCCCACCAGCACTTATGCAGCTACCCAGATACACGAACTTCTCGACTACTTCTATCTGCTCACCATCCAGGGTGAGTACATGATTAGAATCCTTCCAGTCTTGTAGAAATACTTTGCACTTCGAATATGCAAAGCACTTACCATACCTACAGACACTGATTGCCAACTGATTAAGTGCGGATTGGATGACTTGGGCGTTATCGTGCAGTAAGACAATATCATCCGCATACTCAAGGTCGAGAAGTCTTTCTCTAGGCAAGAGATCCACACCGCCAGTACTTACATCCATCAGAGCTGTTTCCAGAATGTCATCGATGGCAAAGTTGAAGAGGAATGGTGAGATTGGACAACCCTGTCTAACCCTACTGTTTGAATGGAACAATGGAGAAAGGTGGTTGTATGCCCTCACTCTGCTTGAGGTGTTTGTATATAGGACCTTTAGGATGTTAATAAACTTCTCAGGCACACCCTTTTTCAATAGACAATCCCAGAGAACAGTCCTGTCCAACGAGTCGAAGGCAGCCCTGATGTCAAGAAACACTACGATTGTTGGGCTTTGATAAGTATGGCGGTGTTCTAACATTTGGCGGAGGGTGAATATATGATCAATACATCCTCGATCAGAACGAAAACCAGCCTGCTCCTCGGGAGTCAGTGTTTCTCGGGCTTTGAACAACCTATGAAGTATAACGGAAGCCAATAGCTTGGACGCAATCGGAAGTAGACTTATCTCCCGATAGTTGTTACAGGAACGACGTGAACCCTTTTTAAAGATGGGGACAACTATCGACTGATTCCATGACGTTGGTACGCTCTCTAGCTCCCAGACCTTTGTAAACAACGTCGTCAGTTCCTTAGTCAGAAAGTCATCACCATCTTTAAAAAGGGCCGGAGGTAAGTCATCTGGGCCCGGTGATTTGTAGCGCTTCGAGAGTTAGAGTTCCCTGCGGACTTCCGCCTCATTTGATGGATCAGTCGTCACAGGCCATGGAGGGCAGGACAGCCTGACCGATGTTGCCGGAGCAGCAGGCCAGTTGAACTGCCCTTTGAAAAATTCTGCCCATCGTCCAAGGCGGCGATGGATGTTAGTGATTGTCATCCCATCATCTTCGCAGATTGTTTCACTCACACCAGACTTCTTGCTGCCAGTGGCTCGGATGTGTTGAAAGAGCTACCGGCAGTTACCAGATGCAGCTGCTACTCCCAACGCATTAGCACGCTTAGACCACCAGGCTTCTCGGTCCTTACGCAAGCTTTGCCCAATTCCTTGCGTAACAGCCCTCGTTTGTGATCAAACTCACGGTCACGCGGAGTAGACCGACGTGCTTCATTGAGTTGTAAGGAGCAACGAGAAACCTAGTGCTTATAAGTGAGACGTTTCGCGAACCCACCACTGACTGTACCCGCCATTTTCATGGCGTCATGCAATTGCAGCCAATGCTCATCTATGCTTTTCGGTGGAATGGTAGCTAGCCTAGAAACTAGCTCGGTTCGATACTTACTTGCAACAGAAGTTGCAACCAGCTTGCTAACATCAATCCTTTGGTGGCGGTCACTTCGTTGTCCACTGAAAAGTAAGGCAAGATTGGCGCGGACCAAGGCATGGTCAGAGTCCAGATAGGTACTCCAAACGGAGCGGCAGTCTTGTACACAACCACTCCAGCGGTAGCTGATTGCGATGTGATCAATCTGAGTCCAGGCTTGAGATGCAGAGGGAGGACGCCAGGTGGCACATCGGCGATGAATGTGCCAAAAGTTAGTGCTAGCCAGAAACAGGTTGTGGTCTGTGCACAGTTTCAGTAGACAATCCCCGTTATCTGACCTGCGACCAACGAGTCCCCATCGGCCACCTAAACGACTCTCTTCTGTGCCTAGACGCCCGACCTGAGCATTCAAGTCTCCGGCTAGTACTACAATATCTGTCGAACGCACTTTCTGGAGAAGAACAGATAACTGGTGGTAAAACTCATCCTTGATTGCATCCGGGCTGCAATCTGTCGTGGCATAGGCGGAGATGATGAAAAGACATCGTTTCTCACGCCGATTTCTTCTCACTTTGATGGAACTTTCTAATCTAACAGCACATAGCCGACTGTTAATGGGGATCCAATCGACTAGTGCTGCCTCAGCTCTAGCGCTTAGGGCGACACCAACGCCAGCAAGACCAGACGAAGATGTCACAGGGTCCCCGGATAAGCGCACGTAAAACAAGCTTTTTGAAGCGACAGATGGAGATCGAATTTGTAGTACTTCGCCAGAGTCTTGAATACGGGTCTCGGATAGACAGCAAACATCAATATTAAGACTTTCCAAAGACATAGCCAGCCCTATCTGTTGTCCGACCTGCATAAATGTGCGAACGTTGAAGGCAGCCAGTTTGAATGGTGCACGTGGTTTCAGAAAAACTGCTTCAGTATTCGTATTTGGTGGTGGCATACAATTTTCAACCGGACAGTGACTCGAGAACGTTTAGATAAAACCGAGTTTCCACCATAGGCGAGCTGCTGTATAAGTGGAAAAATAAGGATACACAAAGTGAGAATAAAAGGGAGTGAATAAATGACGTAAAAAAATAATAATATGAATCGTTTGATTGTTAATCGAAGCAAGACAAGTACTTTCCACAAATACCGACATTTCATCATATTTGTATGTGGGCTGTGACACTACCCGGGTGCCCAGACCGAAGCAGGTGGTTTTCTTAGGGGGTCACACCCCGAGCCTTTGACCTAAAGGTCTGACCCACAAGGCATTGTGAGGAGATGCAGTCCCATGGTAGCCGGTAACCAACGATTGGGTCATACGCCATTTGTTCCCTCAGGATGCTGGAGCCCATGTGCACCATTGGTTTGGGATCCGGTTAAAGCGCCGGACATTCGCTTTTCGTCCTCTCATTTTCGTGAACAACACCCCGCCACGAGAAGGCAGTGAGTAGGACTTCCTGACAGGTGCTGTATACGCGCGGCCATGTTAGAGCATTTGGAGAGGGAAGGCGGGCCCACCCCGCTCTCGGCCATACCAGGGCATTTGGGGGCTAACTAAACAGATCTTATTAGCTGCTTTTATATGTGGAAATTTCTTTTGTCATTGGTAACATTGATTTTGTTTGACACCGCCTTTGTATTCTTGGGTTGTTATATATAATGTGATGTAATCACTAGTGATGGTCAGCCTATAAAACGTTCCCTTTTTGTTTTATTACGAGACATTTGTGCTTATAAGGTAACTATAATCGTAAATGAATTATTCTTCAAAGAACCATTTACCAAGCTTATTGTTCAACAGTCTTTACTGTAGGGCGGTACATAATATCATGTGCTTAGTAGTTCTAGGGTTGTTAAAGAAGCACCTTATTCATTACATTGATGAATAGTAGAAAATGTAGGGGTAACTACTGAGTGTTTTTGTTAAGCTTAACTTAACTTTTCTTTGAATGTTTTGCTTTTTTAACGAATGGTCTAATTTCGTCTGATGGTTTTCGTTTATGTTGTATCATCACTACCTTCATGAATGCTAAATAATTCAGTGACTGAAAATATTGCTTGTCATCTTTCAAAATCAATCACTATAATACAAATAAATTAACACTTTATCTTCCTTCAGTTCTTAAATGTTTTATCACTGTTCTCTTCAAACTCAAATTTTTATATATATCTTAAAACTATGATTTTCTTTTTTGTTTTAATGTGTAACCATATGGACTGTTAAACTTTTATGTAATGTTTTAAAGTGTTTTCCCTATCATTTTTTATATTTGATCCATTTAGATAACTGGTTTGATATTTTAACTCGATTCCGATGTATAAAGCTATTTTTTTCCTGTTGGTAGTGGTTTAGTGTTTTTAGAACACAGAATTTCTAAATTCAATTCTCACAATCAACTCAACAAGTGATTGGATTATTTATTAGTTTAAACCCATCACATCTGCTTTTAAGATAGAAAAAAGAGTTTTTTGTACGTTAAACTTTCGTTTGCGATTGCTTATCTACGTAGTATATGTTGGGATTTGAAAATTGGTTGCAGAGATTTCACTTGTTATAGTTTATTTTTACTGTAGTATGTTCTGCACTTAATAATGTAAGAATAGAGTGCTAACCTAACAAAGTTTAGAACCCTATTACAATCTAGATAGCAAATAAAGAAAAGTTGTTACAGGGCATATGGTTTCTAGGTTCATGATATATTTTTAATGCACTAAATAAATTGTAAAATTGAAAAAAAAACCAACTAAATTCCTAGGGTCAGGGAAACAAAGGAAATAACTGTGTGTCTAAGTCAGTGTTGAAGTTGCATTGGTATTTTGTTCATTTCAGATTTATGGTCTGATTTCGATTGTCAATATACAACCTGTTCTTCCATTTCTTAAAACATGCAAATATGACCTATCTTTTTTTTTCGCTAATGAAACTTTAGTTAACAAAGAAAAAATTACACGAAATTGGTCGAATGTATGAGTCTTCATCGATTTCATCGGGAAGCCCTAATCTAGTTAATAATGTCGATGAAGAGATATCAATAAGTAATGGAGTTATTTGTCAAGCAAATCAGACTCTTCAAAACGGACATTCAGACGAAATAGAAAATACTATAAAAAAGGATAAAAACTCCCCTGAAAATTCATATCAAGTTAGTGTTTTATTCCTTCTTCTTTTCAGTAAAAATTGTATTATATTTCGTTGAATTCTTGATATACCTCACATAAAATTTGGTATAACTGAACACTAAAAATAATGTGCGCTACACATAAAATTTCTATGTGAACTGAGATATTACTCTGAAGCTCAAAGTGAAGCAGTTAGTTTTCTCGCGGTTAGGGTCATTCGTGAAACCTTTAGCTTCAAGATCTAGTCCACAAGGCAGTCGGACAACTTCATCAGATGCATCCCCATGGCAGTCGTTAACCAAAAATAGGTTCATACCCCATTCGTTTCGTCAGGATTCTAGAGCTCATATACACCACCGTTTTGCAATCATAGTTTTTCAACTTCTAGGTAAATCTTCTGTATCTATTAATTAGACTTAATCGCCGAACGTTGTCTTTTCGCTTTCTATTTCTCATAAAAGATGCCGCCTAGTGCAGGTACTGAGAAAGGCTTCTTTGTTGGGAACTATAAACACATGATCATTTGTACATTGATACGAAAAAAGTCTTATTTGTAGTTGAGTTATATAATAAGAATATAATATATATAATAATAATAATTTCAATCATGTAAAAATGGTTTTTACTATTGGGATAGTTGTCTAATTATGACATAAAGTAGACAGTCTCACTGTGTGGAGGTCTGACTAAAACTTCTCTGGCAGAGGCTATAAACACGTCGGGGTATGAGAGCGGGTGAGGAAGAGTGAAATTTTTACCCTAAGCCGTACCATGTCGTTAGGAGAGGATGCTCGTAACTAATATACATCTAATGCATCATTCTTTGTGATGTGTATTAGTTATATTGCCAGGAGTTAGTTGATCATTGGCTTAACCGTCCTCACATTAGGTGTAGAAGGTTTCAGATGATAGGTGGAGGCAAGTCATACTACTTAGGTATCGTGCTTATTAGTTATTTTGTCTTAACTATCAAGGTTTTCAAGGAAACATTTTTGATCTGGTAGAATTTGTTTTTAACAAATATGTAATTTATTTATTTTCTCAAACCTATTTTCCGTTTTTTATTTATAGAATAATCCAAAGATGAATCATGATGTTGACTCAAAATCAAATCCAATCACTCCTTTTCTGTCTACCACTACTAATCCATTTATTAATTCTGATGATTCATTAAAAACAGATCGTAATACCTTAACTACTAATACATTTGATTCTCACTTAGTCACAAAACGTTCAGAAAATAATTTATCTTTTAATAATAATGAACCATATGAAGTATGTTTATAACGTGCATTTTATTTCCCTTATGACGATATATTATTTCTAGTATGAGTTAAAATGTTAGATTTGGAAATCAAGATTTATCTAAGTGTTTCTCACTAATTAGAATTATGCAAAAAATATTATTAGAAGTTGAGCACTAAATAGGTGTTTGCTCCTATTTTTGAAAATTATTGAATAGCATATGTCATTATGCTATTAATAGATTGAGGCGATAATTTTAGTGGACAGGTTATTGTCAGACTGATATCAACTGGGAATATTTAATCAACTGATGTTAAGTAGTTAGTATAACATATTTATCCTTTTCGAAGTATAGTTTTTAATCAGATTAATTATGACAAAGTAATTTTAAGTATTTCTCCATCACCCGCTATGTCATGGATTCGAATGTCTCGCTTAATATGCTTTCAATAACATGATTTTGTCATTAATCCCCTCGGATAAATGTGTACCTTATATAGTTTATTTAACTCCCTACATGTAACTTTCGCAGTGGTATTGCCATACTCATTCACCAATAGGCATTTTGAAATCGTTCCAACCTCTTGATAGTTTTTATCAAAGAATCGTTCTTAGGAAATTATCGTTTAAGTTCTTGCTTTAATGTAGTGATGTGTTTTAGGGGGAGGACTTTTGTTTTAGACTTAGGGGTAAAGTTGTTTGCCTTTTTAATGCTTTTACCTGGTTCATACTTGATAACTTTATTTTATAGTACCTATGTCTCTTTATTATAGTCCGATGAAAATATTTGGCAAAATTACAGACCCTCTTACGGTGGACCTTATACATGTTCATTTTGCTATCGTGTGATCCATAATCGTTCAAACTTTTCTAGACATATAGCCTCTTGTAAGGCTAGGATTTCACTAAGTACGGTAAGTCGTTGGAATATTTGTGACCCACGTACATAACCTACTTTATCATCATTTAGTGTGTCTATGATTGTGGAATTTGTGTAATAACGTTGTTCAATATCCGTTGAAATTTTATAGGCGTTTTGCTCTCAATAGATTCTTTTGATCAGTTATAATTCATAATGAAAACGAAGGGTATATTATTTTTTATTTTACAGCGCAGTACCCCAAAACCAAAGCCTGCCGTACGGAGAAATAAACGCGAATTTCATTTTGTGTTTACGCCTACTCACGAGGTGACACCACAGTTGAAGAATTTAAGAAAAGAGTTATTCAAGGGTGGGATTTCGAATACTGAGCTTAATAAGGTATGCAGTTTTGACTGTTTATCTCTTTTTTTGCTATTGTATTTATATATTTATATGCTTCAATATTGGTAAATGTATGGGACAGATTTCTCCCTCTCTCAAATACAAAAATCAGTTCATGCTGACAATCTTGTTTGTGATTGGTCGTCTTCGCAGATGGGACTTCTGAGCTAGACGAATATGCTAATTTAAAAGCGATTATGTTCTCTTTGAGTTTGAAACTTACACCACTTACCTTATCCTTCAGAACTATTCAAAGTATGCCATTTGGACTGTGGTAAATTTTTTCCAGAGTTGGATGAAGTTTTTATTTATAAACGTAATCACTAAATTTGAGTCATCACTAAGAAGTACATAATTCAAGATTGGTTAATCTTGATTTACTATTTAGTAGATATGCTTATTCAATTATTTAAAATGTCATTTAATCTGGACGCTTAATATGTTTTTAACTCCTATCTACTTACTGCAGTTATTTTTAAATATCACTATATATGTAACTTGTGCTGGAATTTTTCAAACTCATCCTGGCATTAAAGTGCTCATGATTGTATCTCAGCATCCTTCACTAAAGTTGTGTTTCCCATGTATTTTGGTTCCTTTTATTACCTAAGATTGATAAAAAGATATCTTCCCTTCTAATATCTCATCATCAAAATGTTGATAATTGTGTAACTGAAAATGAAGTTCAAATTCCAGTGTCGAGCCCGACTGTTATTCAGTCATGGCACGAATGTTCTCATTGTCATAAAGTTTTTCGGTCCCGAAAACCACTTTAGCGGCATAAATGTAACCACAAGATAAGAGATTTTCACGAGAATTCATCTCCAAGTCAATTATTTTCTTGTTATGATCTGTTGTTACAAGCAGAAAAATAACAGTTTCGGGTTTATCATTCTGTTACCTTGTAAAGTAAACGATACAGTTGTGAGACTTTGACTTATTGTTAGAGAACTGTATTGAGGTTATGTACTCATTAAATGCTAACTTTTTGAAGTATGGACAATTGTATAAAGTTAAGGTGATTTTCTTCTGTAATACATTCACTGTACCTTCACTTTGTCATAGTAGGCTGCGAAATTCTTCAAGTCTACTATAAATTATGTACATTCTTTGTGCTTATAATCACTGCTCATAAGAAACTTTATTCATCCAACCGTTAAAATCGTTAACAAATTTTAAATTTAACATATAATCTCATCAGATTATTAATTTTTTTCACATTAAAGTCTGGTGAATAAGAGGTAAACCATAAACCTATGAATCACAAAATAGGAGTGGGCTACAATCCTTAGATATATTTGAACAGTTTCACTACCCATTAAAACCAAAAGACAGTTTACATACAACATTAGGACTGTCTAAACTAAGTCTACAAGTTTGTTGATTTCTTTGCTGGCATGTAAAAGGAATCGATGTTATGTAAAATGTAATAAGGTGGATGTTCCTGTATATTTTAGAGAAAGTAACTTGGACGTGTACTTCAATCCGGTTTTGGCTTTCTATCGAAATTCTGTATTTATATATACATAATCAAAATTTAAAGCAAAAAAAGTTATCTAAGTAACACTATTCTCTGCAAAATCGTCAGCCGTGTTACATTTTTGAAATGATTGCGTTCGTAAAGGTATTTATTTATCTTCTATAAAAAAACAACTCGTTATTCTCTTTTAAAATAAGTCTTCGAAAGGAACGATTTTTAGAAATAACGTAAAAAAATAATGAACATGAGTATTTACCATTTTTATAACAACTTAACCAAAATGAAACGTTCAAATATGGATTTGCTTAAATCCATGATAATTTCTGAGAATAAAAATTTATAAGCTATCTTTAAATTCCACTTAATGAATGCTGATTTTACAATTTATTCAACACATATTCAGGTTGATCACCGACATTCAAATGGCGATACAGACAATAATGAAATTGCAATGAATTCAGGTGATAAATCACTGAATTTTCGTGGTCTTGCTACGTTAGACAAGAATATGACTGCTTTAGTAAATTCAGAAGACTCACAACATGATTGTACCGATGAACATCTGTTTTCGACTGGATGTCATCAGGACAACCCCACTGAAGTAAGTACTTATTTTGAATTTGTGTGTGTTTGTTTGTTTATTAGGGAAATAGATACAGTATGAAAAGTGTGTAAAGTTTTTTTGTAATGACGGCTGTTATTCCGTTCTAACTATCCCTCACTTGTGTAGGATGAACAGAAGAATCGGATGTCTCCATCGACGAGTGGACTGGAGACATCAGAAGGAACAACACCACCACCACCAACAACAACAACGACAGCAACAACAACAATGACGACGACGACACCAACAGGAACATCGAGTGAACATGATGTTTCGAATGAAAATTTAACTGCTACTCCCTTCAAATGTAACATGTGTTCATTGAGTTATCGCCATAGAACGTCACTTTTACGTCATGCACGTCAATCGAACCACAAGGTAAGTAGGTAGGTAGGTGAGGAGTGGTTAGATTGAATGAGTTTGATGTTGTTCATGTTCGGTGATGATCATGAAATGGTTGTAGTAGCATTGTTGTTTGATCGTGGTGAGTGTATGGGAGAGTGTGTGAGGGAGGGAGTTTGGAGGAGAGGAAGTAGTAAGTGACGAAGAGTTTTGTGTTTTGGAATGTTCAACATGAGTATTTTGTAAATATGTTCGTGATTAAATTGTTTGTAAGGGTAAAATTTTTTTATTGTTGAATGTTTTTAGGTGGATCTGATTAGGACTCGTAAGAGAAGAGACTCTGTGGAGAATTATAACTCTGGTATAAAGAAATCAGGGGAGTGTTTGAATGGTGGTGGATGCATGGATAATGAGATGATATCGAATTTGACATGGAAAGAATGTTCAGAGTCGGTGACGTTGGATTCCAAAGTTGTTGAGAATGAGAATATCGGGCAGGTAGTTGTTATTATTGTTTGAATGTTTCATATTTAGTTGACTATATGATTTAATTTATTGTTGTGAATTTTGATGATCGTCCATTTTAACAATCAGGTGGTGAATTGTTTTGTGAGTTTACTCATATTTCTCAATTTTATAAGTATTGAATTTCGTAAATAATACTTCATGTTGTTTTCGGTATAGTTAAATGTTTACAAACCTAACATAATTCATGTATTTTATATTCTCTATTCTTCAAAGTTTTTTAATGAAACTATCATTGTCGTAAATATGCTTAATGCGATATTCATCGCTTATCTTGAAAGCCTTACTGGTTTGTGAGTAAAACGTGTATTAAAGTGATATGTTTTTGTTTGTCTTTCAATTTGACCTCTTCATTTCTCGTTTTCCGATTTGTAGTTCCGTATGTAAACTCAAAGTCTAATTTGGTATACAGTCCCTTGTGGTGAGTGTTCTTGTCGGTTGAAATGACTCTGATAAATTAGGTGAGACTAATAGAATGTGTCAATGTAAATGCTTTTAGGGATTTTTTGATTTATCCACTGGACTTTGCTGATGAATAAATCTGGTTATCGACTTTTCTACATCGATTTTGGATAGTAATTGTAGTGTGAGCTTGTGTTTCCTTGCCGGACACAACTGTTTTCAGAAGAGGAGGGCGAAATAATCATCCAACGGTCTTGATATTATTATCAGTGTAATCGAATCTATCTTTGGGTGTGAGTAGTACACACTAAATACCATACCAGAAATGTACGTCCTGAATAAAATTAGAGCAGTGATTATTTTTGCTGTTTTGGCAACATTACAACTTGTCATTCCTCGTTATATGGTGTAAAGAAACTGCTATTCAAATAGCTATTGTGGATCATTTTGAAGAACTAATAGCTATTTTACTGAATTTAGTGCATAACTCGTAGTCACTTGCCTTTGTATATAGCGTTCTCATTCTTTTGCTAGTCGGAGCGCTCTACACTGCATTGTCGGAGCTGTGGTTTGCACGGTCTTCGGAGACGTTGGGAATAACTGCCTTCGTTTGTTATAAGGTAGTTACTATTGGAAATTTTGTTGGAACTAACGGAGTTTATGGTACAACATATTGTCTTTTCAGTCGTGCTCCGTAATGGCTGTTCCATGTTAGTGTAGATATTTGGCCAAATGTACCAAGTTTTCGAAATTCAACCTGAATACTGCACTGAGTGGTTTCCGCTTCGATAACAAAGTGAAGTGTTTCTCATATATTAATTTGTTAAAGCATTCTGGTGTGATAAACAGTGGTAGTGCTTCTTCGATTTCTGCTCCTCATTTCCATTAAAGTTTATGGTCTGCTTGCGTGTGTTGCTGCCTTTCTGTGTCACTTCGGAGTTTAAGTAGGATCGCTGCCTCTACACCATAAATAAATGCATTACTTTAAACAATTGTTGAGATCATTTGGATTGTATTTTGTCAATATACTTCAAAATAGCTTTCAATTCTGTAAAACATTGTACCAATATGTTGATCAGTTCCAACAGATGTTGGTTTAACAATGCATTTATTCATAAATTTTGAAAATACAAAATAGTTACTAAATAGACTCAAGAACGAGCGTGAGATATTTTTTTGAAATATCTTCATTTTTCCATGACTTTAATGTTCTTCGGTTCAGATTGGTGGCAAAAGCCTAGGTATCTAATTAAGCATAAACAGAGTGGACATATTTTTAATCCGTGTAATTTATGGGCTTGCATATGTTGTGGAATAAACTGATCTCGGGTACATAGTTCTTCTGGTGAACTTGCGACAATGAAGGTATCATAGACTTAGTTGGGAGCATTCGGTGTATCTGCTAAAATTGCTTTCATCAACTGTTAAAATCCTGTGAGGACTTTTCTAATACGGTAAAATAACCTGTTGTACCATACTAACCCATAATGTTTGTTTGTAACCGATAGCTATCGGTGTAGAAATAAATCATTATATTTTATCAACTTCTCCTTTAGGTTTGGAGAATTTAGTAACATCCTCTGGAATTAACTCCATTTTATCCAAATATTCTTGGCGGTCAAGTAGTACTACACCAGCTTCTTTGTCAGGGTTACTAAGGATTAAATCCTTGTTTCTTTTCAGGAGTATTAGCTGATCCAAGTGGTTCTTAGTTAATAGGTTATTCTTACTACACTGTGCATTAACTTATCCATGGCTGCAGCTAATACGCCTGAAAAGAAATAAGGATTTAATCCTTAGTAACCCTGACAAAGAAGCTGGTGTAGTACTACTTGACCGCCAAGAATATTTGGATAAAATGGAGTTAATTCCAGAGGATGTTACTAAATTCTCCAAATCATTATATGTTATTAAACATTAGCTACATTGAATTTCACTAAGCAACTACTGCCATTTAGACTAGTGGACAAATGATTGTCAATCGGCACCGTTGTTTAAGTCGTCCTATCAGACTGGTAATGAAGTTGGAACAAATATCTATCAGTTCGTTCGGCTTTATAATTATAAAAACTGGATCAGCCAAGTTTGAGTGGGACGCAATGATACTGACATTTGGATAATGTTGTTGTTGTTTTTGGGGCTTGATGTTAATTGCTTGATCGTAAGTGTAAGAAACAAGTCTTTTCGGATGAAACGTCTTGATAATACTCTGTAGTTGGCGAAAATTGGCTACTATATATGTGCAATATACAGGAGCTTTACGCATGCCACCAATATGTTTCAAGACTTTTGTGGACAAATTCTACATTTATATAGGATGAAACACGAGTCTGAAATATTGGCTTAAAAAACCGATCAAATAAATTTATAGTTTTGACCTGTGGACTTAAATGATTATGTTTCTGACCTGATAACTTATTGTGTCATTGCTAGTAAATTTATAGTTTTGGTTCAAACAATGTATCCAGCGCTTACTTGCGTCAATGAACTTAGCACATTAGAGGTTACATATAAGGCATGTTGTTCAAACTCAATAATACTTCAACATATCGTAAAATCATCCTCTTTCATTACTAGCTTTAGGCAGCAGTATCATCGGTTCTCCAGTAATCGTTGTTCAGCATAGTTGTGTAGGCCCGACCGAAGCTGCTACCTTGACGCGGTGGTCGGGCTTGCTTATCGTGATGACCCAACCGAGCTATATTGGCTGGAACATATGTTCCTGTAGATTCTACCATGCCAGGCAGGTCGATTGGAGAACGGTAAGACTAAAAGCAGCAACTCAAGATCTGAGGGCGAAGTCGTACTGCTGACTGTAGAGGGGTGTGACAGCAGTAAGGTGTTTCCATCGGACAACCAGCATGACAGCGATGCTGCCTTCCCACAAGGAGGGGTGGGGTTAGAAAAGGTCGACCCTAAAAATGTCACACCTCACCTTACCCTATGGATTTCCGTCTCCGGCGGTAAGGCCCTTTGAAGAACGGGGCTAACACATTAAAAGCCTTCCACGAAAAGGCCGTGCGCGACCGGCCTCAAGCAGTTGTCCCTTGGGTTCTGCGGTCACGTTCCCAGGTCGTTAAGGCCAACATTAATCCAACTTCCTTTTCAGGTTCCTCAAGAAATACCCTTCCACGGTGTGGGCAGCCGGGAAGTGACACCAGCCCTCATACCCGTAACGGCACACGAGACCAAGTTGGTCACATTCAAATCCTTCCTACACCTCCTAATACCTCTCTTATCTCCATGACTAACCCTCCTCACGTCTCTTTATCACCTCGCACCGCTAGGGCAAACGATTCGAGTACGTGGAACGCTATTCCTGGTCTCCTGAAACCACGCTCTAAACTACACGTAGGAGCTTTTAACGTCCGAACACTGTGCCAAATAGGACAGCAGGCTTCCTTAGCTAGGACTTTAGAATCCCGCGGCATCGATGTGTGCTGCGTCTCCGAAACGCGCATACAGGACCCAAGTAGCGTCATTCATTTGACCTCACCATGCCAAAATAAAGAACCGACTCGATTCACACTTCGTGTATCTGGAAGCCCTGATTCTGCTTCCCGTGGCCTCGCCGGCGTAGGTATAGCATTGAGTCCTAGGGCAGAACTAGCTTTCTTAGAGTGGATCCCAGTAGACAGTCGTTTGTGCGCTGTCCGACTAAACGGAACAATAAGGTCTCGGAAATATAGGCACACTCGTCGTCTCTGCATACTCTCCCACTGACTGCAGCTCAGACGATGCAAAAGATGAATTTTGAAGAAAGCTTCCCGACCTCAGAAAAGCTAGGCGCTCTGATGTAGTAATAGTGGCTGGTGACTTTAATGCTCAAGTAGGTAAACTAGGCGATAGGGAAAGACATCTGGGTGGATCTTATAGCATCTTGGCTCAAAGAACAGATAATGGCGACCGTCTGTTTCAGCTATGCTCAGATAACCGCCTTTTTCTTGTGAATACTAACTTTAACCATAAGGAAAGACATCTTTTAACATGGCGACCCCCTAATTCGTCCCAACGTTGGACCCAAATAGATCACATCGCTATCAGCCACCGATGGAGGGGCTCGATAGAAGACTGTCGCTCATTCTGGAGCACATGCTTAGATTCAGATCATGCTCTAGTGCGAGCGCGTATCTGTCTGCGTCTTACTGGACGTAGGAAAGACGCTGCAAGGAAACCTCCTAGGGGCCTACTTAATGATAGTCAAGCTAAGAGTATATTTCAGGAACAACTAGGAAAACAGTTAGGCAGCTATGTGTATATGATGCCCACCCCGAGGCAGCATGTAATGATATCCGAAAAGCTGTGGAAACAGCAGTGATGTCTGCTAGTACGGTAACCTCTAAGGGTAGGGGGCAACACTGGATCTCAGCAGCATCTATCGCATTGATAGGTGCTCGGAAACTCATTCCATCTGACTCTGAACATAGTGAAGAGCGGAGTCAGCTTAAGCGCAAGCTGACAAGAAGTCTACGCAATGATCGTGAACAGTGGTGGGTAGCGAAAGCAAGAGAGATGGAAAAGACAGAGGCAATAGGTAATAGCAGTCAATTGTTCAGACTTGTTAAGGAAAC